CGCTTAAGGACGGTAATCCGTTCCCATTGGAACGGATTAACCGGTTTTCAATGCATTTGTACGGGAAATGGTGTTTCGCTTAGCGATGTTTTCCCATAGCGATGTTTTTTGGGAACCAATTAACATCGTTAAGCGAGGCACCACTGTATTTATTCTCATATTCTTCCTCTTACCATACAATCAACCTTGCTAGTTCTATGAGTTGTTCAGGTTGGGGGGGGCATAAGACCAGTGGCCTCCTCCCCTCCCTGCCTCAGGTGATAGGTTCTGCAAACAGCTTGGATCTTCTCTTAGGACTTCCACATACAGTGTGAAATCCAGTAGTAAGTTGCAATTAGAGCAAGATCCATTGAATCAGTGGAAATTTCAGAGAAGTTGATTCACCAACTCCCCACTGAGTCAGTGGGTGTACTCTACTCGTGACATGCTACTGGATTTCAGCTATAGCATGCCAGCACCACACAATTACCTTTGAATGCAAGTTATTGTAGAATCAAGGCATGACAGATCCATGAGAACCAATGTGGGGTAGTGCAGTGGTCCCCAACCTTAGGCCTCCAGAAGTTCTTAGACTTCAACTCCCAGAAATCCTGGCCAGCAGAAGTGGTTGTGAAGGCTCCTGGGCGTTGTAGTCCAAGAACATCTGGAGACCCAAGGTTGGGGACCACTGGGGTAGTGGACAGAGTGTCAGATTGGACTTAGAAGTCATGAATTTAAATCCGTGCATGGCCCTGGAATTTCAGTGGCGGCAGCAGCAATGTTAAACTATTCCTTGAACATCGCAGTTACCTTTTATCAAAGTCTCCGTAAGTCCTGAGTGACTTGATGGCACATAAACACACGTTTGACTTACCAACAAACAGGAACCATTTTGCAGCTGCAGATCTCTTCTTGTTCTTTCAGACATATCAGTTTTGTTAGTTTATCACGGGAATGAGCAAAGTGGGAAGTTAGACTGCCGCTCACAGCTGCCCTAGCCAGCGTAGCTGGTGGTGTGGCATGCTGCATTTTGCTACCTGACAGCAACTGGAGGGCCACTCTTTATCCACTCGTGGTTTAACCAGGCATGGGAATGGGGTTTTGAACTGAAACTCCCAGAATCCGATAATACATTTCCGGGAGCTGTAGTTTCAAAAACCTAATGTTTCTCATATCTGAATTTAACACATTTGTCTGTATTCTAAGATTAATGAGGAAGGCCTTGCTTGTGATGCACAAGAGTAATATGGGGCTAACTTGTGTGGTAAGGACTTCTCAGTTGTGGCAAACTAACCATGGATCTCCCTTCCAGTAGGTTTCATTGTCTTGCTTGCTGTTGTTATTGAGGTGTTACTTTAAAAGTATATTTATTAGAAAAGATTTTGAGAGTATAATGCAAATATTTCATCTGTTTTGCTTCATGTTTACATTATTGTTGGTAGTGTTGTTGTTGTTTTTGATAGTGTTGTTGTTGTTGTTGCTAGTAGTAGTAGTAGTAGTAGTCGTAGTAGTAGTAGTAGTAGGAGTAGTAGTAGTAGTACAGTGGGGTCTTGACTTAAGAACGGCTTGAGTTAAGCACATTTTGACTTAAGAACCACTCTCATAGGAAAATATTGACTTGACTTACATACTTAGATTTGAGTTAAGAACTGAAAAAAAACCACGTGGGAGGCAGGGAAAGTGCAAAATTTGAACTTTCAGTTACCTGTTGGCCAGTGAAAAGGGTGCCTGTCTGCTTCCTCACTCCTCCCAGCGTTTAGAGAGTGGATTGGGAGACAGTCTTCAGACTGCCTGGTCCTGTAATGCCTGGACTGTATTTTCCCTGCCTTCCCTGAACCTTTCTTGACCTAAGAAAAAAAGAAACAAAATATCCCCCTCTAGTGGTCGAAGGCAGAATAGCAGCTTCCCATTAGTTTCTATGGATGGAAAAGAGCAGATACGGATCAAATGGTTCTCAATGCATTCCTATGGGAAATGCAGATTTGACCTGAGAACTTTTTGACTTGAGAACTGCCTTCCAATACGGATTAAGTTCTCAAGTCAAGACCCCACTGTAGTAGTATAGTGATTTTAGAATTGCAATTTAGGACCACTATCCCATTTGAAGCATAAGGGCAATCATATAAGCATTTCCCCACTTCAGCAGACCCCTTGTCATGTGACTGATCATGCAACTAGTGGTGGAACCAATGGCACAAGCAGTGTAGGACCAGATATGCAAAGGCAAGACTGCTAAATCAGGGGCAATGCTTGTACACTCCGGTTACACAGGACACTGACTTATATAAATTTTATGGAGGTTGTTTACCATCCTCTGCAGATTTTGAGAATATCACTTTTTTGGATTAATCCTCCTAGACTAGAGTTTATCAGCCATGATACCCACGCTGGCTGGAGGATTCTGGGAAATGTGGTCCAGAAGATTACTTTCTTAAACTTTGATCCTATGAAGAAGGGTAGGATACAAATCAGATAAACAAATAGATTGCACCATCTACTGTATTTAAAAGGTTTTTTTTTAAGTTATTGTAGAGAAAAGTCACTACTCACTAAGAAATGGAAAAGAAATCTGCAAGGAGAATACATATTTTGCTCTGGAATGAAAACCTGCATTGAGCCAACTGGAACTATAGTTGTCCTAATGTCATCAAGGTTGCACACTCTGTAATGAGCTCTCTGACTTGGAGGGGGAGCAACCTCTTTGAATTTAAAATTGCTGCTACAAGGAGAAAAAATTCTTGGGGGAGAAAGAAAGCATACTTTTTAATGTGTGGTCACATATACAGGATCTAAATTTCTTGGCTTTCTGATCATGGAGGATTGATCTGCTTATTCACAATATAAGATTTTTTAATATATATCCAGCAAATATCAGCAAGAAGAAACTTAGCTTAATAAAATCATAAACAATGGGTTCTTGCATTTTGCCTCCTGTACCCTCTACTCCACACAATAGAATGCTTAATGTGTTATTCCTCATTAGTTTGTTTGTGCAGATGCTGGAACAAAACTAGCTGAATCAATGATCTTGCACAAGCAGATGATTACGTCCCTCCCTGGTGTAAGTATCAAAGCAAATGCTGCCTCTTTTTTGTCTCGATATTTCTTTAACCTATATATTTTTCTATGTGTATTTAAATTGACAGAGAATTCTGCCTTGTCATGATGTGCCCAAAGGAGGGCAGCCTCAATGTCAATGTTTTTGTCTCCAGAGCCCAGGCTTGATTTGATCTAAAAACCACTTGTTCATTTTTCTAGCAGTCCAGTCAAGTCTCAGGTGTGGCAAAATAGGCTCAGATGTCATGTATGTGCCAGCTTGGGCATGACTCAGTTCCCCTTTCAGGCACATGCCTTTGCTTTGTCCAGCCCAGTCCAGTGGGCGGGAAGGTGCCAAAGGGCTCTTTCTCATCACTGTTTTCTCCCCTTCATTCTCCATGATTCAGCTGTCAGTGAGTTTGGCCAATAAGTAAACAACACAGACTCCTGCCTCACATTACGGAAACTGAAGAACTCAGAAAGCTGCCTTGCACTCATTCAAACCATCATTCCAGCTAGCCCAGTATCATCTGCTCTGACTGGGGCCTGACTTCCGTGCAGGGTGATTTCTCTATACCTCAAGTATGGGTTTTAGCTGCCTTGGGTCCTTTCTTAGAGGAAAGGAAGGGTAAAAATGGGATGGATGGACGGACGGACGGACGGACGGACGGACGGACGGACGGACGGACGGACGGACGGACGGACGGACGGACGGACGGACGGACGGACGGACGGACGGACGGACGGACGGACGGACGGACGGACGGACGGACGGACGGACGGACGGACGGACGGACGGACGGACGGACGGACGGACGGACGGACGGACGGACGGACGGACGGACGGACGGACGGACGGACGGACGGACGGACGGACGGACGGACGGACGGACGGACGGACGGACGGACGGACGGACGGACGGACGGACCGACGGACCGACCGACCGACCGACCGACAGACAGACAGACAGACAGACAGATAGATAGATAGATAGATAGATGAAGTGGTCTATTTTAGGGGCCTCAAGGGCACCACAAGACCTGACAGCCAAAAAACAACAACAAATTTTTTAAAAAATGAGGTGACACAGACAAACACTCATACACACACAGACAGACAAATCAAAACTAAATGTAAGGTCCCTTCTTGTTTGTTTGTTTGTTTGTTTCATTTTGGACTATCTGTAGTAATTGGGAGTCTTGTGTGGCTTGTGGGGAGTTCTATGGCCAAAAGAGAGAGAGATGCACCTTGTTCTGTATGCAGAAGTGTCCCAAAAGCACAGTTTGACTTCAACACAATGTGCAGTATCTGCAACCTCTGTATTTTTCTACCAGCATAGTGTCCCTGCAGCGGAATGGGTATGGCAGTGTGTGTTTTTAATACCCAGAAATTTCCACATTTAATTTATGTTGAAATGTAAAGGAAAAGAAATCTCAGACCCTTCAAGCTTAAATAATACTGAAAATTCGCATTATAGTCTCGATCAATTATCTTTCTCTGTGATATAGCAGTAAAAATGGAGAATCTAGTAATTTAAGAAGGAAAACACAGTAGCATGGATTATCTTCTTAGAACTCATCATGTTTATTGCAACCGGAGGAACAGTAGCAAGAAAGAGAGGATGTGATGGGTTTGAATTGAACTATTAGTATTCTTGGTTCAATCATGAGTAAATGTACTGGTCTACCTCCCACAAGCTATTTGAAGTTTCTGTTGTGTGGAGAGACTCAAATAATAAAACAGTGGCTGAGTTTTTATTTTCAGCTATGAGAACTCGCAAAACACGATAGCAAGATTTTATACTATACTATGTATTTATTTTATGTGTTTTATCTTTGTATAATCAGGTCTATGACCACATAATCAAACTTTACTTACTTAGTATTCAAGAGAGGCTGAGGCACAATAGCCTTTATCAAGCCGTCACTCAATTTGAAAGAAACGAAATGTGGAATCCTTCTCCAGAGCCACTGGAAGATGGACAACACTCTGACAGGCCTTTCTGTGACCTTATTTTTACTGTTTGTTGTCTTGTCAAGTAAACTGACAGGCATAACCGTGGAGAAGACAGAAGGTGGTATAGTTCACATCCACGCAGATTTTATATTAACATGGAGAAATGAGAAGCGGTCAAATGCTAAAATACAACATTTGTGTCGCTTTACTTTCTCCAACCCTACCAAACTCTAAATTTCAGCACATAAAACTCCATTTAAGACTGAGAATCCAAACCATTTCCAGTCAAATAGTGACAATTTGCTATCCCTACAAATTGAGTATCATGTAATGGTGGGATTTTGTTGCAACATAGACTAGGCTTATTATGATTTCTTTCTAATGCCATTTTTAAAATCGCAGTTGGCAGCTGTTGGTGTTAGGATAACAATAAGAAAATTCACATCTATTGAACAATAACCCTATTGTTGGCAGTGAGATAACACTAATGTGATCTCTGAACTGCCCCTTGAGCAGCAATATTTGTACTGAGATTAACAAGTTGTACACAATGTTTAGAATGTTTGTCTCACTGATTTGTTCGCTGGTCCGTTTCTACAGAAGGGGACTTGAGACATGGAAATTCTGGTTTGTTATAAAGTCAGATGGGGGTTGTAGTCCAGCAACATCTGGAAGGCTACACACTCTCCCTACTCCTGATGTAATCCATGGAATTGTCCAATGAATGCATTTAGGAACAACTTTTAGGAATGTACTGGTATTTTAAATCTTGCATTTGTTTACTGCCAGACTGGCTCACCTTACTTCTCAGCAGTACTGCACCATAAAGCTTATATTGGTTTTATATACCAATTTAATGGGCATGACTTCTTCTAAAAGGTCCCACGAACAGCAGTTTGGGTGGTCCACTTGAAAAATCATATTTTCTGAGGAAAGGCAGTGTCCTTAAACTATGCTGAAGTCTGTTGTGCAGATGTGTGTTTGGAGGGTGTGCCCCATGAATCTCAGTATCTCATTATATGAGCCTTTGATACCATATCTGTTTTCTCAAGGATAAATATGCAGAGTTCTTTCAGTCTTTCCTCATAGGGTTTGGTTTCCAGCCCTCTGAACAGCCTTGTTGCCTTCCTCGGAACTTGTTCCGATCCTTCTTGCAGAACTGGACACAGCACTCAAGATGAAGGAAGGAAAGAAAACTATAAAATAAAGTAGGGAAATAAAAGACAGTAAAAGAGCCATAGAATCTCCCAGAAGGTGTAATCTAACCCATTGTAAAAACTGAAGTTTCTCTCAGAATCAAGGCAAACTAGAGCCTAAGGGCCTCAGAGCTGTCAAAATCTCCAAAAGTAAACATTTATTTATTTATTTATTTATAAGATGAAGGAAGGAAAGAAAACTATAAAATAAAGTAGGGAAATAAAAGACAGTAAAAGAGCCATAGAATCTCCCAGAAGGTGTAATCTAACCCATTGTAAAAACTGAAGTTTCTCTCAGAATCAAGGCAAACTAGAGCCTAAGGGCCTCAGAGCTGTCAAAATCTCCAAAAGTAAACATTTATTTATTTATTTATTTATTTATTTATTTATTTATTTATTTATTTATTTATTTATTTATTTATTTATTTAACTTGCCTGCCGCCCACACTACCCAAAGGTCTAGAAAAAGAGAACTGAACAGGATGTATGTATGAGGGTGAAAGCCAGCGATTGAGACTTTGAGTCTCTTTGCCCCAAGCACTAATTGCTTTTTGTTCCACTGATGCTCCTAAATTTGTTTGCATTCTGGTCGGGTTCTTTACCTTCACCCCTCAAATTCAGTTCTGTATTGGTAGATGGCAAGGTGGAAAAAGGAGTGCATTGTACCACCTTTCTTTATTCCAAGAGACTAAATTGTATCTTTGTTCTGCAGCATGTGATGAAACCATAGCATCTTATCAGGGTACACTCCAGTGTCCCCCAGTTCATCCAAAGCCTTGTTGCTACAGCAACCAAGTATCTGTCTTTGTTTGCTTGTTTGTTTGTTTGTTCATTCGTTCATTCATTTTGCTAATTTCCTGATTCAAAACTCTAGGGTGAAAGAAATCCTCAGCCCTTTGCCATCAGGAAACAGTCAATCCTGCTGTTTATGAAACAAACCAAATATTTCCTTGATGCCATTCCACAGATAGGCCATTCCATAGGTCTGTAGCCCATTCCATATGCCATACACCTACAGGCCACTCCAGGCCACATGTCCACATGCCTTTTGCCAAATGTACCCTTAGACTGTAAAAGCACGACCTGATTAATATTCCCTATATCCTATTGTTATTTTTACTACTTTACTGGATCAGAAAGTGGGCTTTACATTCCCTTTGGGGCCAGATCACCTTCTGGAACTGTTGTGAGATCAAGGTGCAGGATCTCGGAGATATTTGGGGTTTGAGTTTCAGCTGGCATCATAGGAAGGAGAGGTAATTTATCTTTTGTTTTGAGCCTTGGCAAGTCATTAAAACAGGTTTTTGTTCTTCCATGTTCAAGTGTGCAACGGCAGCAATGGAATGTATGAGACAATACATTGGAGAGGTTTTGGATTTTATTGCTGATATGCATACTTTGACCAAGCTGAAGGTGAGTATAAAGCTCAGGCACATCAACTGAAATGGTTTTATTGCATCGTTATGAAGTTCTGCATCATGGCGATCTAGAGAGAAGGGAGAGCTTCTTTCATAGGCTGATAACATGTGTTCTGTGTAGATTTAAATTAGGAGTGATGAAATTTTGCATAGCCAGTTGTCTTGGATATCACTATGTTACTGTTTGCATGACAACTCTGAGAGCGCCCAGATAAGCTCTGTCCAACTTTGTTTAAAAAATACCTTTTCATTAATTATAGAAAGAACAGTGTTATTGGCAGCACAGAATAAATGGTAGTGGCCAGGTTCTGAAGAGGTGTTGAGATTCACAAGAAGAACATCCACAAGACCAGTGAATTTTTTTTTATATTCCTTCCCTCTCTCTTTGAAATGGACAGTCTCACGTGATAGAATGCCTTTGAAATTCCTGTAGGTTTCAAAACATGTTTGCTGCGAGGTTTGGGATGGTGACACATTTGTTTGAGCAAACCAAGTCTCAATTCCTTAGCTGTAGTTTGGATATTCTGAAATGTACATTAATACCATTGTGTCATTCATAAAAATGGCCAGGGTGAGTCTATGCTGTGGAAACATAGATCCAAAATGTATAAGTGTTTCTGGCCAAATCTCATATTCCACTGAGAAAATGGAAACCTTCTGGGGCCATCTTCCCTTTCCAAGACACTCTTCTGTAGGTTCTAGTGAAAACCAAAGTAGAATTTACAGGATTAAAGTCTGCCCAATACACCTGATATAATAATTCTGTAATTTCTTGCCTGTAATCCTGTGCTTCCCAACCCTGGGTCCCTAGATGTTCTTGTACTAAAACTCCCAGAAGCCATCACTGCTAGCTGTGCTGGCCAGGATTTCTGGGAGGTTTAGTCCAAAAACATCTGTGGAACCATCCAAGCCAACCTATTTTACTGTCCCCCTTTTAAAGCCTTAGAATTATAGAATCATACAATCATTGAATGGGGAGGGGCCTGTAAAGCCATCGAGTCCAACCCCGTGCTCAATGCAGGAATTCAAATCAAAGCAGATTTGACAGATGGTGGCGGTTGTTTCAGCAACTGGAGTTGTACCTAAATCTTTATTTACCAATTTTAAACAATTGCCAATGCTGCTATTTTTCCCCCTGAAATTCAAAACTCAGTAATTCATCTCATCTCACCTGCAATTTTTTAGGACTTGACTCCTAATGTTTAGTCTTGGCCCTTTGGTCTGCTCCCATGCACCAGCAGTGCTGAAAATAAAAAGGATGATGATGATAATAAAGTGCTTTCTTTTGCTGATGTCAGCATTGAGAGCTTCAGGATTATCGTGGCCCTTTGGTCTGCTCCCATGTACCAGCAATGCTGAAAATAAAAAGGATGATGATGATGATGATGATGATGATGATGATGATGATGATGATGATGATGATGATGATGTGCTTTCTTCTGCTAATGTCAGCATTGAGAGCTTCAGGATTATCGTAAATGGCTTGGGTGTCTAAAAGGACTATTTTTCCCATGCCAGGCTATCCACATTTTCTGTCACTATGATGGATCTTTCCCCAAATCCCTTAGCCTTCCGAAGTCTGACAGGAAATAACAGCAGAGAGGACTTTCTTGATTATGGTACCGAAAATAATGTCTTTTTGACATTGGGCAAAGACCTGGTTTTTCTAGTGCGTAGTCAAAACAAGTTAAAATGTATATTTTGTTTTGTTTTGAATCATGTTATTAGGTTTTACTGATTTTGCTGAAAGTTTATTTTGTTTAAGTTTTTTCAGTTTGCATGATGACAGTCTGTTTTATGGTTGTTTATCTAAACTGAAAGTGAACGGCAGGCAATACATAGGTGTTTTGAATGCTTTTGAATGGTCACTGGAAGCCAAACACCTTCTTTCCTGAGGGGCTTTCATGAAAGAGGATGTACCAGTGGCATCTGAGCATTTTGGTGGACTTACCTTGGGACCTTGCCTTAGAAATTTCTATCTCTTAACTCCCCTCCCCACTTTCTCTTCATTATCATAGGTGAATTTAAAGCATTTAGGTCAGGAATACTGTCAGGAATACTAGCCAGAAGGGGGTGGTTTAAGAGGCTGGGACATTTCCTCAGCTTGTCCTGATCTGCTGCTATCCAGATGGATTACACTGCAATACCAGGTTGGCTGGAGATGATGGAAATTTTAATCCAGCATATCAGTCTAGGTTTGACGTGCATTGCGTTCCGATGTATTTGAAGCATACGAGGTTGGGCAAGGCTGCATTAGGCCATTAACAAAAATATGTGCTTTAATCACTCCTCTCTAAATACCTCAGTGTTTGAAGAAGCAAGAGAGGTATAGAGTGCCAGAATTTCCACCCTGAAGTATCCCACATAAACACTGAGAAATTAATCAACAGAAGGGAGTGGCAGAGACATTCCAGTCTGAAAAATGTGCTGAGGGAACCTCATCTGGAGCAGCCATTCTCAGCATAAACACAATTAAAGAAATACAGGCCGAATCAGGATTCTATAAATTACGTAACGAACCTTACAGAGTGGTGTATGAAGAATTGTTTCTGGTCTGTGGCCCCCTTCAAATGTGTCAAGCCCTCCTGGAGGGCCCATTGAGAATGGCTAGTCTAGATGATGGGTGAAGGATTAGTTGCCTGCCTGATTCTATAGGTAGAGAGGAAGATAACTGACCCATAAGCCTTAACTTTCCTCAGAGCTGTTGTCTATAATGTCAATGGCAGTCTAGACCCTATGGTTAGCATCCCATTAAAAGCAGTATTTCCTTCAGGACTGAAAAAATGTTTGTTTACCCTAGCATGAGTGTGTCTGGCCCTGCATGATACAGATTAGTTTGCATTTGTTCTGTGATTGGTTACAGAGAGGTAAACATTGGTTTTATGTGATTGCTCATGCATGGAACTTTGGACAGTTTTTGTTAATACAGGGAAAGTGTTGTAATGAATAGGAAATATGCATTTTAACATGTGATATGATCCCCTGTAGCTGGAAGATTGATTCTTTTTTGTGGAGTACTCTCAGCCTTCATTAACTGAGTGTTAAGTTTTCACTTAACCTGTATAACATCCTTATCCTTCTCGCCTTTAATATCAAATGGCATTAATCTCTTCACGGTGTTAAATGTTCTGGCTTTGCAGAGTCACATGAAAACATGTTCCCAGCCCCTGCATGAAGATACTTTTGGTGGGCACTTGAAGGTTGGCTTAGCTCAGATCGCTGCTATGGAAATCTCGCGTGGTAATCACAGGGATAACAAGGCTGTGGTGCGTTATTTGCCTTGGCTATATCATCCTCCATCTGCAATGCAACAAGGGTAAGAACATCTTGACCCAAATGGAATGATAACAAAGAACTTGAAACAGATGTCTAAATGGTAGGGGTAGAATTGTCTTGTTACAATACCAGTAAAGTTACAGATACTATCATTAAGCAGTCTTAGTACTTGCACATAATTATATTTCAGACAGGTATTGTTATTTGGAGGTTAGTGATTTGCATTTCCTCACAACAAAATACAGTGGTGCCTCGCAAGACAAGCACCCTGTTTAACAACGAAATCACATTATGAGAAACTTTTTGCGATCACAAAAGGGATTGCAAAACGATGTTTCCTATGCGAGGCACCACTGTACTGTATAGTGATTTGAAGTCTAAGAATATAGCATATCCTTCAAACAAAAAATGATACATGGATGAAAGATGTTTCAATAAGGCGGCAAATTTCTTTTAACTCCTTGGAACAAATAGATCATGTAGGACTGTTTGCTTTGCCCATGTCTATTAGTGTATTATTGTTAGCTTGAAAAATTTGCACAGCATTTTGCAGGCAAAATCTTTCGGATCCACACGCTCCTTGGAACAAATAGATTGTGTAGGACTGTTTTATAAGTAGTTTGCTTTGTCCATGTCTATTATTATTGTTAGCTTGCTGTGAAAAATTTGCACAGCATTTTGCAGGCAAAATCTTTCGGATCCACGCTGACTTGGATGCTGTAATTAATACAGGTCTTACAGATATAACTATGACTCCTGCTTGTCCTGTGTTGATGGATAAGTTTCAGTTTTGCACCCTGATGATGTGGACAGGATCCCTGGAGCACTGAAGGCTTTCATTTGTCTTCTAAACTCTTGCCCATCCTGGCTTATAAAAGCTTTGTTTTGTCCCCCATGTTATTTAACATCTACATGAAACCTCTGGAAAAGGTTGTTCAGCATTTTGGGGTTCAGTGTCACCAGTCCGCTGATGACACCCAACTCTGTCTCTCTTTTCCATCTAAATACAAGGAAGCGGTCTCGGTTCTAAATCAGTGTCTGGTGTCAGTAATGGAGTTGTTCAGCATTTTGGGGTCAGTGTCACCAGTCCACTGATGACACCCAACCCTGTCTCTCTTTTCCATCTAAATCCAAGGAAGCGGTCTCAGTTCTAAATCAGTGCCTGGTGTCAGTAATGGACTGGATGAGGGTGAATAAAGTGAAACTTAATCCAAACAAGACAGAGTTGCTCCTGGTCAGTCAAAAACCAGATCAAGGAATCGGATTGCAGTCTGTGCTGGATGGAGTTACACTCCCTCTGAAAACACAGACACGCAGCTTGGGGGTGCTCCTGGATTCATCTGTCTAGTGTCAGTAATGGACTGGATGAGAGCAAATAAACTGAAACGTAATCCAGGCAAAAGACAGAGGTGCTCCTGGTCAGTAGAAAACCAGATCAAGGAATAGGGTTGCATGCTGGATGAGGTTACACTCCTTCTGAAAACATAGGCACACAGTTTGGGAGAGTTCCTGGATTCATCTCTGAGCCTGGGTGCCCAGGTTTTAGCTAGGAAAGCCTTTGCACAATTAAAACTGGTATGCAAGCTGAGAGGTCTGATCTGGCCATGGTGATGCATGCCCTAGTTACATTTCGGTTGGATAACTGTAACACACTCTATGTGGGGCTCCCTTTGGAAAGTGTTTGGAAATTCCAAAAAGTCCAAAATGCCACAGCCAGATTGTTAACTGGGGCTGGTTGTAAAGATCACATAACCATCCTGTTACAGTAGCTCAACTGGCTGCCGATCTGTTTCCGGGCATGATTCAAAGTGCTGGTTTTAACCTATAAAGCCCTAAACAATTTGGGTCCAATATATCTAAAAGTCGTCATCCTCCTCTATGAGCCTGCCCAGGCATTAAGATCATCAGGGGAGGCCTTTCTCTTGGTCCCACCACCCCCTCACAGGTGCACACGGGAGAGGGCCTTTTTTGATGCTGCTCCCAGACTCTGGAACTCCCTCCCATGGGAAGCTAGGCTGGCCCCATCTTTGCTGTCCTTCCGCAGGCAGGCAAAGACCTTTCTCTTCAGGCAGGCTTTTCCTTAATGACTGGTGGTCTGAGAGGGTTTAAAATGGACTATTGTGCTCTGTTGTTTTAATATTGATCTTAGTTGCCACTTTTATACAATACTTGCTTAATTCTTTTTAAATATTTATATACTTTTGTTAATCTTTTAAATACTGTTTTAATGATGTGAGCCACTTTGAGTCCTTTTGAGGAGAAAGATGAGATAGAAATATTTGAAATAAACAAACATAGAAATAAATAAAATATAGAAATTGAGTTTATTATTGTACATCATAATGACAAATGTTGGGATGATGGTTGCAGATGACCTACAAGCCCTTATATACTATTTGAAACAAATTAATCATAATAAAAATTGTTGTATGTGTACTTTGCTTTGCCTATGTCTTATATGCATTATGAAGAAGATGGTGATGATTAGTATTCTAGAATCCTATTGAATTTTAATCCAGATCAAGTGAATTTCTGAAAATGGAAGTAGAAGATTTCAACTAATTTGCAAGATGCTAGCTGCGTAACTGGTTGCCTGCCTGGCCATGTATTATTCACATCATCAAGCACATGGCTCACATGTTGTTAATTACAGTGGGGTCTTGACTTGAGAACTTAATCCGTATTAGAAGGCGGTTCTCAAGTCAAAAAGTTCTCAGGTCAAATCTGCATTTCCCATAGGAATGCATTGAAAACCATTTGATCCGTCTCTGCTCTTTTCCGACCATAGAAACTAATGGGAAGCTGCTATTCCGCCTTCGACCACTAGAGGGGGATATTTTGCTTCTTTTTTTCTTAGGTCAAGAAAGGTTCAGGGAAGGCAGGGAAAAGACAGTCCAGGCAGGACAGTACCAGGCAGTCCGAAGACTGTCTTCCAATCCACTTTCTAAACGCTGGGAGGAGTGAGGAAGCAGACAGGCACCCTTTTCACTGCCCAACAGTTAACTGAAAGTTCAAATTTTGCACTTTCCCTGCCTCCCACGTGGTTTTTTTCAGTTCTTAACTCAAATCTAAGTACGTAAGTCAAGTCAATATTTTCCTATGAGAGCGGTTCTTAAGTCAAAATGTTCTTAACTCGAGCCGTTCTTAAGTCAAGACCCCACTGTAGCTGCAATTTACCAGCACAGCTTATGTTATTTTACACAAATCCCAATAGGATTTCGGCCATAGTTTATTATTATGCTTTTTAACAACAAACATTTATATTGGTATTACATTCAAATTGATGCTGGTTATTTGAGAGAGGATTAAGCTTTTGAGACAGTAAGAATCTGAAACCATGTCTTCTTTCCCAACAGACCCAAAGAATTCATTGAATGTGTATCTCACATCCGGCTGCTCTCGTGGCTCCTTCTGGGGTCCTTGACACATAATGTTGTCTGTCCAAATTCTCCTTTAGTCTGTATGCCCATTCCACTGGATGCAGGCTCTCATGTTGCTGATCATCTAATTGTGATCCTGATTGGATTTCCAGAACAGTCCAAGGTACAAGAATGGTGCATGAAAATAGCAACTGTTTGATGTGCAACTAAATATGATATACAGGGTACCGCCTAGATGCTGCCTAGCTGCCCTGGGAAATTAACAGAAACACCAGGGTTACAGCATCTTTGCAATGATTCTGAAAAGCCCTAGAGGTTGGTATGCAGGTTTTTGCTGGGATGCAACTGACCTGGGACCGTAGCCAATTGGATGGCCATTCCCAATTTCTTATTAACACTGTGCGGTGTTAGCTTTCCTAGCTCAGCTCTATGTGGACACTTTGCTCACCAAGTCCCATCTAACCCCTGTCTGGCACTTAAACTGTGAGTACCTGAATGCTAAATTTCCCTTAGGTCTGAGTTGGGGGAACTCTAATTGATGGGTTGTGGCTCATTTTACCATCACATCTTGCCTTCCTTTAGTTTTTTTAAGTGAATAAAAAGAAGCTTAGTTGTGTGGTCCATATTTTCCAAAGCATGGTAGGATAATATATTTAGTGCGCCATCAAAATATAAAAGGGGATGGAGGAAGGGAGAAGTAAGCTTTGAATCCTCAGAACGTTTAATTAAACTAGGCATCACAAAACTTGGGGAATGGGACAGGAGAAGCAGAAAAGTTTAAAATCCATTCTGGGTAGATGTTAAAAACTATGGAAACTGCAGTTACATGCTGTCCAAAATGGAGACTTCCAGCATGGAGAGCAGATAAGAACATAAGAAGAGCCCTGCTGGATCCGGCCAAGGGCCCATCTAGTCCAGATTCCTGTATCTCACAGTGGCCCCACCAGATGCCTCTGGGAGCATACAACTAGATACCTGTCTCCTGATACCCGTTCCCTACATCTGGCATTTTAAAGTACCTTCCTTTTAAGCCTGGAGATAATATGTTCCCATCATGGCTTGTAACCTGTGATGGACTTTTCCTCCAGGAATCTGTCCAATCCCCTTTTCAAGGCATCAAGGCCAGATGCCATCACCACATCCTGTGGCAAGGAGTTCCACAGAATAACAACATGCTGGGTAAAGAAATATTTTCTTTTGTCTGTTCTCACTCTCTCAAAACTCAATTTGAGTGGATGTCCCCTGGTTCTGGTATTGCGTGTGAGGGAAAAGTTCTTCCCTCTATCTATTTTATCCATCCCCTGCATAATTTTATATGTCTCAATCATGTCCCCCCTCAGGTGCCTTTTCTCTCGACTAAAGAGCCCCAAGTACTGTAGCCTTTCCTCATAAAGGAGGTGCCCCAGCCCAGTCATCATTTTAGTCGCCCTCTTCTGCACCTTTTCCAGTTCCACTATGTCTTTTTTGAGGTGCAGCAGCCAGAACTGTACGCAATACTCCAGGTGCGGCCTTACCAGCGTTTTGTACAATGGAATTGTTGGCTGTTTTATTTTCAAACCCCTTTTTTAATGATAACTAGCATGGAATTGGCCTTCTTCAATGGGTTGATACTTTTATCGAGCTGTCCACCAGCACCAGAAAGAAAGATCTCTTTCCTGATCCATCACAGACAGCTCAGAACCCATTAGCTGATAACTAAAGTTTTTAATTTTTGCCCCAGTGTGCATGACTTTTCTTTTTTATATATACTGAAACACATTTGCCATTTTGCCACGACTTTTCATTTTCTTATACAGTATACTGAAACGCATTTGCCATTTTGCCACCCATGGGTCTTCACCACCCGGGAAGATGGAAGCATGGTCTTATCTCCTCCTAGGGATGTGGGATCAGTTGACCCTCTCCATCTTTGTAGACAATGGGGTCAACTGTCCCTTCACCCCTTTTCATTGTTTTAGTGAGAAATTTAGTGAGTTGCAGCCAGTGTATTGGTTGTAAGAGGACAATTCCAAACTTTATCCACATCAGAGCCTCAAAAAAATGATTTTTCATGTTCTGATGCAGTTCTGGTGAAACTGGATGGAATGCAACATTGTGCAAGTGGACATTCCACTTCCCCTCATACAAGAGGACTTTCCTCTCCTCTCAACCCAATGGAGCCCACCAAAATTTGGGCTGGAAAAAATTCAGAGAGGCGACTGGAAGGGAGCAGGGGAATTTCGTCCTCTTCGTTTTGTTGATGGCAATCATTCCATTAGCAGGAAGGGTTAAGTGGAGACTTTCCTTGTCATTCCCTGAATTCCACAAGCCAGAGGGTTGGATGGATGAGGACAGTTCCTTGCCATGACCTGCTAAAAAATGTGACAGAAGCACAAGTCTCAAAGTGCGGTTTTTCTCAGAATCCTGGGTTTGCTCATGGAATTACATAGACAGTTTTATGAGTCTCTTTGGGAGACCAAGCTGTAACTGCCTCCGTAGATTCTTGCAGGGGTGACAAAACCTGCAGTACTTGCCTTGCTCAGAGTTGTTTCATCCTTGGTCCACACAGCTGTGTGTCCGGGTGTGTGTGTGTGTGTGTCCCCATAGGCCTTGGCCTTGCCATCCCTTTGCCTGATCTGAGGCTGTGAATACAAAATGCCTGTTTGAATATGTTTGAATATAGATGAGTTGTCACATCACTCATCACATGTGGACAGGAAACAAAATCTGAGGGCATTCTTGACAAGGCTGTTGTTGATTAGGATTACTTTGATAGAGGTTATTGGAAGAGGGAAATAATAATATGTTGTCGTTCTCTGTAGGAGAATGTTATATATTATTTGAAGACCAACAGAGGTTTTCTTCCCCATCCCTTCTTTCTCTTCCTCTAGACCTCCGTCTTGCACATGTGTTCCCTTTTCCATGCCTTTATCTTTGCTCAGCTGTGGACAGTATATTGCGAACAAGCAGCAGTGGCTCCCACAGTCCAGAACCAAAATGAATTTAGCTTCACAGCGATCCTCACCGCCCTGGAGTTCTGGAGCCGCGTGACGCCGAGCATTCTCCAGCTAATGGCACATAACAAGGTGGTGAGTCAGATGCCACGGCTGAGGTTCTGGGGCTGATTTCATTCAGCCCTGTATAAGAGACAAGGCATTTAAAGCTGAAAGCCCTGTGTCTGTGTATTGAGATACAGATCCACATGGCAGCATGGGATAATAGATATGGGGGGTGGGGGTGTACATGCGGAGCAAGCAGTCGGCATTTTGATAGGTTTTAGAAGTGGCTGTGCCCTCTCTCTCTCTCTCTCTCTCTTTCAGTGGTTCCCAATTTTGGGTCCCCAGATGTTCTTCGAACACAACTCCCAAAAATATTGGCCAGCACAGCTGGCAGTGAAGGTTTCTGGGAGTTTTAGTCCACTGGTTCTTAACCTTGGGTTACTCAGGAGTTTTGGACTGCAACTCCCAGAAGCCTTCACCACCAGCTGTCCTGACTGGGGTTTCTGGGAGTTGCAGTTCAAAAGCATCTGAGTAACAAAGGTTAAGAACCACTGTTTAGTCCAAGAACATTTTGGAACCCAAGATCTTCACTTATAAAAGCTCCCAGAATGACTCACCAATACTTGAAAGGGGGCCATTGCCATGCAGTGATCAAGCTTGCAAGCTGAAAGGTGTGACACAGAAGGAAAGAGAACTGGGATGAAGCAGGAAAAAAAGTAAACTCGGGTAGTTGGCCTTTTGGTCAGTGGTTCTTAACCTTTGTTACTTGGATGTTTTTGAACTGCAACTCCCAGAAACCTCAGCCAGCACAATTGGTGGTGAAGGATTCTGGGAGTTGCAGTCCAAAACTCCTGAGTAACCCAAGGTTAAGAACCAGTGCTTTTGGTTACAGTGTTTCCTTCTGGTTCCGGTATATAAGCACCCCTTCTCCTTTAGAGCAGGGGAAAAAAAAGTAAACTCGGGTGGTTGGCCTTTTGGTTTCCTTCTGTTTCCGGTATATAAGCACCCCTTCTCCTTTAAAACAGGAGCAATTGCTCATCAAAGAAACAATCATAACTTCATCCAACTCATTGGATGAAGGACGTCTATGGTGTAAATCCAGTTTGACAGTGAATGTTTGTTACCCTAAGTGTGAATGATTAAACTTCCTGCACTAGCAGTCCCTTCTGTGCAATGTCTAATGACACAACTGCATGCCACAGGGATATCCTGAAAGGTGATCAATGGGTCCTTCCAAGTAACTATGGAACACATTGTGAAAGGGCAGTACAGTAGGACCTCCATATCTGCGGGAGAACGGTTCCAAGCCTCCCCATGGATGCTGAAAAACACAGAATGCTATTTTAATAGTGAAGGCTATATATAGCACGATCTCTGGCTCCATCTGGTGGCTAGTTCTGGTAATGACATTATAGAAATCTCTTTCTCTAGCAAAATCTATAAATAGCATGGTCTCCAGCTCCCTCTAGTGGCCAGTTCTAGTAACGTCATCATTATATATTATACTGTATATAAAATATTTTCAGACTGAAGTGAATTAGTGGATACTGATTCTGTGGATAAAGGGATCCTGCTGTATATGCTGTAGGTAATATCATAGTGGATTCTGTGAGTTTTCTGTCCCACAGAATTCATTATGACATTACCCATAGTGGTTTGCCTGTACATTGGTTCACTGCAGAAGAGTTGAAATGATATGTATCACCGCAATGGGGACGCAGTTAGTGCTGCGGGTTAAATCACTGAGCCACTGGGCTATTTGTTGGAAGGTCAGCAGTTCGAATCCATGCAACAGGGTGAGCTGCTTGCTGCAGCTCCTGCCAACCTAGCAGTCGTTGGAAGGTCGGCAGTTCGAATCCGTGCAACAGGGTGAGCGGCTTGCTGCAGCTCCTGCCAACCTAGCAGTTCAAACGCAGGCAAATGCAAGTAGAAGAATAGGTGCCACCTTGGTGGGAAGGTAACAGCATTCTGTGTCTAGCCATGCTGGCCACGTGACCACAGAAAGTGCCTGTGGACAAACACTGGCTCTTTGGCTTACAAACCAGGATGCGCACCGTCCCCTAGAGTTGGACACAACTGAACTTCATTGTCAAGGAAAACCTTTACATCACTCCACTACAACAGAAGATTTTTCTCTATGCCAGATTGTTTGCTCTGAAGAAAAAATGAAGAATTATGTATTCATATCTCTCTGATGAATTATAATAATTAATTGCTTCCAAAAATAAACAGGATTTAGCTATACAGTGGTGCCTCGCTTAATGAGCGCACCGTTTAACAATGAATCCACATAGCGATCTATTTTTTTAGATCGCTAATGCGATCACATTGTGATGTTCTGAATAGGCAAAACATCGCATTGCAATGATCGGTAAACGTTTCGCTTACCGATCTTCGCATTGCGATGTTTTTTTAAACAGCAGATCGGCGGTTCCAAAATGGCCGTCGGGTGCCCAAAATGGCCGCCGCAAGTGTTTTCGCGCCCTGCCCTCGCTTACTGAGGGCGCGAAAATGGTGGCGCTATGGAGGCACTTCGCTGAACGGCGAGTTTAGGAGCCATAGGAACGCATTAAACGAAGTTTAATGTGTTCCTATGGCTTTTTCCATTCCGTTTAGCGATGTTTCTGCATAGCGACGATTAATCCGGAACAGATTAACGTCACTATGCGGGGCACCACTGTAATTGATTCTGAGAGAGAATCCAGTAAATTAAAAATATGCCTTTCTATTGGAATTCGATGAATGGTGACTATTCAGGGTGGGGTGTTGAAATGGACTTTCAAGGGCTAGTGCAAAGTTTGGAAAAGTTACCATTTTTTTAAATTACAACTCCCAGAAACCTGTAACCAGCGTGGCCACTGGTTATGCTGCTTGAGGATTCTGGAATGTGCAGTACAAAAACTGATTTTTCAAAATATTTTAATTCTGGGCTAGCTAAAAGATTCTACCTAAAAGTTCAAACTAGGTAAAATGAAATTTGGCTGAAAACAGCAATGGCCAGATTAAACATGGTTTTCTACTTGCTTGCTGGTTATTTGAAATTTTGTTGGTTATGCATTTTTCTTATTAATTGCTATACGAATGAACTGAAGTTAATCGTACCAGCCATGGCTTTTTGTTTTCCTGATGTTGTACTCCGTGTTCATTTCCCTCTAGATGGTGGAGATGGTGTGTCTCCATGTGATCAGCTTAATGGAGGCTTTGCAGGAATGTAATTCCACTATATTTGTCAAGGTAGGCCAGCTCCCCATTGGGAATCCATGGGCTTTTTAAAATAACTCGATTCCAAAAGGCTATGCATAGCATTTTGTATCCGCTTGCGGGTTTCTCTACCACCAAAACCACCTCACTTTTCTCTCTGCCCCCTGAAAAATGGCTCCAGAGGACTGGGGACACTCTGAAGTAGTATTTTATTCAGTGCAAAAATTTATCTACCGAAGACAATAGGACTGGATTTTTCCTGTTTCAGAGCTAGGTTGAATAGTGATTCTATTATAATTTTTTAAAATCTAAATAAAATAAATAAAATTTTTACTCCTAGCCTTCAAGTACTTGGATGCATCTTGGATGCAGCTGAATAATAAGAAAACAGCTGTCAGTGGAGCTTTTATATAACTTGGCTGTACCTTTGTCCAAAGAGGATGTAGTTCTTAACAAACTAAGGGACAAAAGAGAAGAGCTGAATATAAACAATCCTAGTTTTGGGATCTGATCCATTTCCTTTGGAAGATTTCTGTATTATGCAATGCAAAAATGAAGGGAAAGAGTGTTTAGGATCATTAAACTGGAAAAAGCTGTCTGAATAGGTGCAGAAAGTTCAGCCAACAAAGCATGAACAACAGAGGTTGAAAGAAAGCTTTAACAACTCCTGGATTTTTTTCCCCAATTGCTGTTCCTAGTCCTATCAAGAATACTATTGCTGTAGGCTACTTACAACTTTGAAAGATGATTCAAGGTGGCCATTGCCAATCCAGTTACCTTCTAGCTGTGTTGGATGTCACTCTCATCACCCTTGCCAGTATGCTGTTGGAGTACACATCTGGAAAACCCCAGCTTGGGGAAGAACGAAGAGCAAGATCTATTCCAAAATGCAACACTTGAGCTGGTGATAGGACAGTTCAGAAGGGCAAGTTGATAAGAAGCATTCCTTTAGCTCCTTGTTTGGTACCATAGCATCAAAAGGAAAACTGAGAAAAGTATCTCCAAAAATTGTTTGGCTAGAGAATGGTTTGCTTCCAGGGCCAGTTCAAGGCATCCAGCTGAGTAAAGTGAAGGGCAAATGGATGCCCACCTCCCATTCCATGTGCCAATGCTGATTGGAGTACGACAACAATGGTAATTGAGATAGGATCCTCCACCCACACCTGAGGGCAGCAGGCCAGGTTACAGGGTGCAGAAAAGGCTGCATGGCATACACAGCTTTGTTTTCCATTAGAGAGAAATAGCTGGGGGTGTGTGTGTCAGAAGAATGGTTAAGCAGCTGCCACTGCAATTGCTGGTGTCCCTCTGTATCTCCTAACTGAGGCCTCATGCTGTCCAAGACTTGGGCCAGCCCTCTGCTTGTTTGGAACAGAAGGGGGGTATCCCCCCACCCCACCCCACGCAGGCCATCACTCTGGGAGGCCAAGAAGCAGGTTTATCCTTATCATGGCACATTCTTCTAATTGACAGCACTTTTGCTCATATGAGATACCATCATCATCAAAGCTGGAAGGGACCCACATGAGCAAGTGATAGACATAAATGGGTACCTTTCACAGAAATATCTGCAAAGGGGAATCAGATATCTTTGTTAGGGCTTTGCTTGTAGACACCATTCCCCCCCCCCAAATTTGCAGGGGTTACAAATTTTTAAATGCAGTTTCCACATGAACGCACCACTGTGATGCTTTTCAAAAGGTTATGTGTCCTCTCCATGTGTTACACGATCAGAAGCAGGCCAGAGATAATGCTCATAAAAAGAATGTGTGGACCTAAATTCTGTCCATCTGGATCAGAACAAGGTCCATCTCCAGTTGAGTTTGGGAACAGTTATACCTCATTTTTCCTCCAGTGAGCTCTCTTCCTTTCCACCTCACAAAATCCACGTGAGAGAGACCAGGCCGAGAGAGAATAACTGGCCCATGATCAAGCACTGGCCAGAATTCTATTTCATTTTCATACTGGAGTAAGTAAAATGACGTAAGTTACAGCAGGAAATTGCAACTAATTTGCAAGGTGCCAGGCAAATGGCTGGTAGCATGCCATTGTATGTATGAGCAGGTGCATGACACCTTGATGCAGTTTTGTCACTGTGTCCTAACACAATTTCATGCATTTCAAAGTAAAACCCAAATCTGTTTTTGGCCAGTGAATAGCACTTCCTTCTTGTTAGAAATTCAGGTTTGTCCAGCTGTATCTCTAGTTAATTGATAATCACTACAAGGACCTTTGTTCCTAGCATTTCAAAGCTTTGCAGTCCACAATGTTTATTTATTCACTGGGATTCCATAAACAATGTTGTTGCTAAGCAGTGTGCTGAAGATGGACTGTGACTCTCACCCACCTCTAGAATTCTGCCAAATGTTGCATCATCCAATCCAGCCAATGAAATAACATTCCCTGAATAGCACTTTATCTCATGCTGTCAATACTGATTACATTTTCCATGTAACTCTTAGGACCTTAATTGGAAAATTGCAGATCTTGATGCCATTTAGAGGAACATTTTTGAACAATATGTCAAACTCTTTCAATAATGTTGGAACATGTCAGAAAGGTCTTCAGGCTTAATGTAAACCTGGTTTACAGTTATAAAACAAAGCAAAATGCAAAATCATTCTCCCAGACCTCTTTGTTTCTTCCATGTTGCAAATAAATACAACTATCAAATATGGAAACTGGCACAGTTGTCAGTCAAATGGGAGCATGAAGTCAGTAATAATAAAAAATGGCAGACATTTGGTTAAGTATCATTCCCAAGATATTACAGAACACTACCGCTGATGCATTTCTAAGGAACTTGTGAGTCACTGTTTCTTTTGCAGTGGCCATTTAAACATACTTCTTATTGCAGTGTTGTAGTGGCTAGATTACTGTTCAAAGTCTTTGAAGAGCCATGAAATTCAGTTTAGACCAATTAGACTCCTTCACCCTGCTTTACATTTTAGGGATATTGTGAAGATAAAGTAGTAATGGAGGAGTGCCACATCCGCCATTTTGAGCACATGGGAGGAAAAGCGGAATATAAATGTAACTAGTAAATAAATAACATATGGTATTTTGAATGAAAGCTATCTCACATCTACAGAACAGGTGAGAAACATGCTGCCCTCTAGATATTATTGGACTCCAACTCATATCTACACCAGTGAGCATGGTGAATTGTCAAGGATAATAGGATTTTTCCATCCAAGAATATCTGCAAGGTTGCAGGTGTCCGATCCCTGTTCTATCAAATGTCATCCATCATCTTCAGGACATTTTTCCGAGACCGACATGCTACCTATCCATAGGAAAAGGAACAGTCTAAACAAACTGTTAAAAGTGTGTTGTTAAAAGATCACCACCAACTTTTGTTAAAGAAGTGAATATCTCTCCAAGACATTTTCTGTTATTGCAAAATTTGACATTCAGGATTTCAGTTATCTGTGTAAGGTGCTATGTAAACATGCTCAGATATTACCAGCTCCCAATGAGAATGCCTTGGTATAAGGAAGTAATTATGAAGAGGAAAGAACAAAAATGAAAAGTACAAGTTCTTCTTTGAAAAAATACATTTTCTTCCCCCCAGAAAAATCCTCAAGGTGGCTTACTTTATTCTCAACCTCTCCTTGTTGAGAATAATGACGTTGGATGACACAGTACATTTAATATATGTACAGTATTTGTAGACCTGTGGAGTTATTCACATGGAACAGTCAACATGTGTACAATCTATGTACAATACATATAGAACACTGGAATGTTGAAATGAATGTCAATAAGGATAAAATAGTTTTTATAACTTAATTTGGAGATGGTGCTTAACTTCAGTGAAACTGATAATTATTTTAAAACGTGTTGGAGATGGTGCCAGTAGATATGTAGATATTTTCATATGTGGTGGGAATGTAAGTATGTACAGTACTGAATTTTTGGCAATTGTTGTTTAAGGAAATAAATAAAACAAGCAATTTAAATTTAATATATTCGCGAAGGCTTTCACGGCTGGGATCTGATGGTTGTTGTGGGTTTTTCGGGCTCTTTGGCCGTGTTCTGAAGGTTGTTCTTCCTAACGTTTCTCCAGTCTCTGTGGCCAGCATCTTCAGAGCATAGAGAGTGCTGTCCTCTGAAGATGCCGGCCACAGAGACTAGTGAAACGTTAGGAAGAACAACCTTCAGAACACGGCCAAAGAGCCCGAAAAACCCACAACAACCAATTTAAATTTAGCTGGGTGTCCTAAAATTTTACCTAAAATAGCGCTTTTATCAAAAAATGAAAAGGAGGTGGGTAACTGGGCAACTAGAGAATTAGTTTCCAGTCTGCTAATATCTGCAAAACTGATTATTGTTAGGAATTGGAAAACGGCTGAAAATATATATTTTTAGTGAATGGTATTGAGAAGTCTGGGATATGGCAATTAATGATAAAATTAATGTAAGAGTTAAGGGGGGGTACTGCTCAGAGATGTGTTTATAAATATACTGGGACAATTGATTAGTTTTGTATTAATAAATGGGAAGGGACAAAGCAAACTCAAGCATCTACATGATTTTGGAAGGAGAGGGAGCTCCACACAAGGGTAAATGGTATAGGTATTTTTCCCCAATGGTTCCGGTACACTATGTATGTAGGTTTTTCTTTTATTTTTTCCTTTGTTACATACTTCTATTATAGCACAAATACTTTTATTGATTTTTAAATGTGTTATTTCTCTGTATTTATTTTAAAAATAACTTTTAAAAAGCAGACTATAATGTACATAATACATTACACAGAACACTGCTTGGTCAATTAGATTTTTTTATTTAGATGTTTAAATGGTTTTAGATGTGTTATTTCTTTGTTTGTGCTTGTTTTTAAAATTAATTTTTAAAAAGCAGCCCTTAAAATACATCATACATTAGACAGAACACTGCTTGGCCAATATTTCCTTGTGTTATCTCTGGGTTAATGTTGTCAGCACAGTTCTTGGTTCATTCTTCAGACTAAGAACATCGATTGTACCTCTTTCGACCAAGTGTGACATAATGATGCGGTGCTATAATGAATTGCAATAGGTGCATTATCAGTATGCCTTGTAGAGTAATGCAGGGTTTCTGTTTTCCATCAGCTCATCCCAATGTGGCTCCCAATGATTCAGTCGAATCTAAAGGTAGGTTCTGCCTCTCAACACCTAAGTCCTAATCTTTTATGTTTGTGAAGAAAACGAGTGTAGTAGAATTTGTGTCCATATCTAAATCTATCCACTCATCATCATCATCAATCTTAGAACTGCAGGAAGTCCTAATCTTTTATGTATGTGAAGAAAACGAGTGTAGCAGAATTTGTGTCCATATCTAAATCTGTCCACTCATCATCATCCATCAATTTTAGAACTGCAGAACTGGAAGGAATCCTATGGATCATGTCCAGTCCCTGTCAAGGAGGCACAGTGGGGAATTGAACTCATAACCTCTGGTTCAGCAGCCAGATACCTAGCCCACTGCACTATCCAACAGTTCTCTTCCTGGTGTGGCTCATATTTCCATGCACATGGTGCAATCCAAAGATTAATACAAAGAATCTTGGTTGTGTTATATCTTTATTGAATCGTTCAGAACTTATAAACAAGGCAATATTTCAAGTTCCCCAGAGTTTCTTATGTAATATATAAAATGGGTAACTGGAAGAAAGAAAAGCTTGAGACTTCTTTCTAGTCAGATATATATAGTGCCCATTGTTCTTGAGGAATGACTGACTGCAGACCAACAAAACCTTCAAATTCAGTGAAAAAGGGGTCAAGTTTACAGTCTCTTCTCTCTCACTGCTTGGGTGTGACAAGTGTAGCTTCATTCATTACTTTGTGTGACATGCACAGGCCCCATGTGTTGACTTAGAGCACTAAAATAGAAAGCAACACAACAGTCAGCAAAACAGGAGTCTATTATTTCAGCGCTGCAGGCAAATTTGAGTGTCAGATTAAGTGGCTCTGCCACATGCAGAAGTCTTGAGAGTAGCATTTCAAAACTGTAAGTTATGTAATCACCTGGCATTCATTCTGATGGCATTTAGACATCAGGTAAGAACCGAGCCTTTCTCTCAGTCCCACCATTGTCACAGGTGCATTTGATGGGGACACGGGAGACAGCCTTCTCTGTTGCTGCTCCCAGACTTTGGAACTCCCTCCCACAAGAGGCCAGGCTGGCCCCATCTTTGCTGTCTTTCCGCAAGCAGGCTTTTTCTTCAGTCCGTCTTTCCCTCATTGACTGAGTGGAGTTGTTGAATGGATTGTTGTGCCTTACTGCTTTGAATGTGTTTTGGTGTTGTTTTTGTTTACTGTGTTGTAATGTGGAAATTGACCCTTTCTAGTATTTGTATCTATTTTTTGGTTTTAAATATTGTCTTTTAACAATGTAAGCTGCCTCGGGTCCTTTTTCAGGAGAAAGGCAGGGTAAAATATTTTAAATAAACAAAGAAATAAATAATATTTACCCCAGTCACTTAATTAGCTATGTTGCTGTTTCTTGGTTTATCACACACGATTGTGTGAAAACATGCATGCCTATATGTTTCAATTGACTGCATTATGCTGGATTTGAATATTAGTTGCATGTATTCTAACTTTAAAAAAAAAGTTTGCTGAGTGGTTTTGAAGTCTTGCAGCTGAAATATTTAAAACAAAGAAATAAAGAATTTGCAGCAAAATGCGTGTTTATTTATGTTCATAGCACTTATCTGCTGGCCTGCAGCTCCGCCTCCAAGCCATCCAGAACAATGTAAACCACCATAGCCTTAGAATGTTACAGGGATCCGTCCAGATGAACACAAACTCCTCCGTTCTCCGCAAATGGCTTCAGTGCACCCAGTTCAAAATGGCTCAAGTGGAAATCCAGTCATCAGAAGCAGCATCTCAGTTTTATCCTTTATGACCCAAGAAGGATGTTCTAGGAATTTATGTTTGGTCTAGCAATAATAGGGCTAAAGCTATAAGACAAAAGGCCATCTTTAAAAAGTAGATAATAGTACTGTAGCTACACATTCCTGTTGTTTTCTTGTAGGCATATAGAAATAGGGGGGAACAGGTTAATAGAGAATGGCCTGGCTGTGCCCACCTATCAGTGCAAGTGTGTTGTCGCTGTGGCACATGAAATTGTATGACGAGGCTGATCTCGCAAATGGCGTTCGCTAATTTAGGCCTGAGCTAATTTGTGTAGCAAGATGTTTAAATAGACATGTTTCCAAATGTTTCCCTTTTTATTTACAAGGAAAAGCCTTCTCCCTTCTTATTTTTTTTATAGATTTACATACCACAGTTGCGTGTTTTCACAGATGCCTCTGAGTGTTCTTTGATGCCGCTCTTTTTACACATTAACAAAATAAGCAGGGTTTTCGATATCTTCTAAATACTTTGTTGTTTGATCTCGTTTTGAAACTCAGACTCGGAAATGCAATAACGCTTGCCACAATGAGTAATGAAGAGTTTTCTGCAGGGTTTTCTTTTTGTTTCCAAATGATCACATTACAGAGGGTGGCTGGCTGGCTGGCTGGCTGAGGGATTATAATTTTTCCAAGCCCTGGATAGAAGCCAATGACTTTCAAGCGAGCCTGCACCTTTGGGTGGATTGTTTGGCCCTTGAATCAGGATCCGTAGCTTCAGGAGGAACCATGTAAAGTGCCAGGAGACCAAAGAAAGTGAGAGGGACTCCTGTCTGCCCTGGAATCTCTATATTTATTGACACACATTCCATTGGCAGGGCTGGGAAGAAGAATTTCTTATTACCTTTGAGGAGATACATTAATCATAGCCTGCCTTTCCACCATGGGAGATAAGGCAGTTTAACCTTGTTCTCTTTCTCCCTCATTTTATCCTCAGAACTACCTTGTAAGAAAGGTCAGGCTAAGTGAGAGTGATGGGTTCAAGATTACCCTCAGGAGTTTCCAGACTCCATGGGGACTGAAACCTGCATCTCCTGTGTCTCATTCTAGCACGCTAACCACTACACTATACCGGATAGTAGAATTAGTGCTGGCATTTTGCCTAAGGAACTGAATACAGAGGAAGCCAATCCCCCCGGACTACGAAGTGCACTTAGGAATTAGGTGGTTCAACTGTGTCTGTTCACTTGTCTCTTTACTTTAAGAACTGTTAAGTTAAATACTTGTAACTGTGTTTTGTTGCTGATAATTTTCCTGCGGCCCTTAAACTAAGTAACCCAGTGTACAGGACAATCTGTATAGTACAACCTGTATTTTATTTTCTTCAACAATTGTACACAGTAAGATTCAAACTAAGCCCCATTCCTGTGGCCATTGGGGAGATCACAAATGCTACAGGCTTCCGTAGGGAAAAGGCTTGGCGTTGTAGATTTGCAAATAGTACATAAAATTGTAGAAACACTGCATAGAAAGTGATGTTAAATATTTTTAAAAAATGAATTTTAATAACATTGAGAAAGACTGATCCACTGAACTGTACAGAAAAGCCACCTGTTTCTTTGCAGGAGACTTGGACTGGAACAGTTAAACTCCTTGTAATTAAGATTTAACCTTTTCTAAAATATATACAAACATAATTGAGATTTACTGTATTTATTGCATAAATCCTTTGAATAAAGGAGTAAAAACTGAAGCTTTGTATTGAAATACTGTAAAATGCATAACTCTTTACTACTGTATTTAATGATACTTGGTTATTATTTTACTTCAAATAAACTCACTAGCCTATTATTCTGCATTTGTCATAATCTTTATTTCTGTATGCACCCATTCCACAGCAGAGTTTTTGTATAAGAGCAACAGCACAATGGCTGAAAATTTTCTCCACTGTAGGGGTTCCGTGTTGCCAGCCCACCAGCAAATACATTGTGGATTTAGGTCTAAATACAATTTATAGTCCTAACCAGAGCGGACACGTGGAGTCAGCTGGATTTATGTAAGTGTTGGCTTGTCATTCAGTAATTTTATCAGGGGGTGTAATCTAGCTGGAACTGGCAACTGAATTTGGGCCTAAAAGCACAGAACAAAAAACAAAACAAAACAAAGAGTAAAGCTTAATCTAAAAGCAGGGCCGGATGAAGTCCTTTAAGAGGTCATAAACACTGAAACAGTCACACTGCTCCCTATAACATGTGGCAGGTTCCACAGCATGGGGGGGGATGTGCACATTTTGTACATGAAAATAAGGTAATTTAATTGTAAAGCACATGGCAAAATGAACCACATATATGCAAAATCATACATACCAGCTTCCAGCCAAATCTTGTGCTTTCATGTTTTGATTAATGTAGACAGATTTTTGTCAGATTCTGTAAATGGAAAAGCTCAAACAAGAGCTCAAATTCCATTTTGGAGCATTTTAAAAAGTGGCTGTTATTTCTTTGGCTTATGCATATAGTGCAGAGGTGATGGGTCTAAAAGACCAGCAGCTCTTTTTTCCTTATCTTCACCCAATCTCCAAATATATAGAAGTAAATAAATAATTAAAAAACCAAAAACAACAAGCGCTGATGATGGATCATTTCACTCAAATGGGTTTTCTTACTTGGCGTGTCTTACGCCTTTTTTTCTGGTTCATACTCAATTACTTCAGGCAGGAAAGTGGTTTTCTTGCGGATCTTGAGGAAGAGAGGGAAAGAGAGCTGAGGATAAGGGATAGATAGATGTGGTTTGTTAAGGAGGGGTGCACTATTTGCATTGTGGTCCATGATAAATCAAGCACTCAGAAAAGTCTGTGGTGCCCCCTTCCCTTGATGATGCCCTAAGCATGTGCTTATTTTGCTCAATAGTTAATTTGGGGCTGTCTAAAAGATTCTATTTAATTAGATGTCATTGTCAAGACTCCATACTATGAAACATGTCTGGTGCCTATGGCCGTTATCCTGTATGTTACATAACTGAGGAAAGCCATTGGGATAAGCATTTGCCCTTCTCTGGCTGGCTTCCCTTTGCTTGCCAAGTCTTGCAAAAGTAATTGTGGAACCACTTCCATGAGCTGTCATATAACAGGGGACATGTTTTAGGCAGAGGAAGGCTACTTCCACCTCTGTTTTAAGTTGAGGGTAACTTTTTTCAAAACTTGGACATTACCTGGAAGGGATGGGGAAGACATGGCAAAAACTGCAAACGCAAAAAAAGTGCAAGAGGACGTTTCTTCTCAAAACATTTTCTGGAGAGCTGGAAGGCTATATATGACCCATGGGCTGCCGTGTACTAAGATCTGGAAAGTTTATTTTTAAATAATGTGGGTGTTGCAGAGAAATCCGGACAACGGGCTCTGAGGGAATCCATTTGTTATTTTCACAAAGCTATACTCTCCCCGTCTAGTTTGAGCAGTGAGCACAGCAATAAAATATGTTCTTATGGAAACTTCATATGAAATCTGGAATTATTGGTTGTGAGCAGCCCCCGCCACAGGCAGTAAGTTGTGGTACAATTTTAGGACTTTATTGGGGACAAAGCAAGGTGGAAATATGACGTATAAACACAGGTTCTTGCAGACTTGGCCCCAGCCGAGTGTGGGGGTGCTGGGGTTCCTCACAGCACCAAGCCCCTCAGGGCAATAGCAGAATCTACCCCAGTGGGCTGCACCTCCAGGCCGCCATATTACAGAGGAAAGAAACAGAAATGAATGTCTCTGCAGCAGTGGTGGGATTCAGCAGGCCAACAAACGGTTCTGCAGAACCAATAACACATTAGCTACCGGTTCTGTAGAACTGGTGTGAACCTGCTGAATCCCACCACTGCTCTGCAGGCTCAGGCCCCTTCAGACTTTCAGTTCCAATGTTGGTCGGGCTCCTCCCTCGAGCCTCTGGCCTTAGTCCTGGCAACGGAGTCGTCCCCTAGCTGGCCAGGAGTTGCGTCACTCCCTGGTCAGTTAAGCAGAAATGTCCACATAGAGAAAACTGCTCAATTGGGGCAGACAGGAGCCCCTCTTGGCTTCCTTCCAATCCAGAGAGTCAGCTTGAGGAAGCAACTGGGGAAGGAGGAGAGCTAAGGCTACGGTCTCTCCTTCCCAGCCCCCTTGCTTGCCCTCTCAGGGTCTGGATGCCCCCTTATCAGCCTTCCTGGGTTGGCAAGGCCTCCGCCTCCCTCCCAGGTCCTCTCCTGGTAAGGAGGCTTTGTTCTTATCAATGAGGAATTCCAGAGCATCCTGCTACAAATGTCTGTGCTCTTCCTCCTCTGAGCTCTCATCTCCCCCTCCTATTTCTAGCCCGGCCAGAGCACCTTCCCCCTCTGAGAGGTGTGACCGGCCCCTCCTCTTCTCCCAGGTGTTTGGAATAGGGAGAGCATTCCTCCTGCCCTAGGAGGCTGACCACTCTGCCAGCCAGCTGCAGCTGGCTCACACTGATATTTAATGCAAAGCTGAACAAAGCATTCAACTAAGATTTGAAGTGCATTGTTTAGAGGTGGAACTGAGTTGTCCAGAAAGCTATTTTCACCCTTAAAGAGCTTGTTCTCTCATGTTAGGCCCCTCTGTTTTCCACTTACTGTATCCGCAAACAGTCCCATAGTATGGAATAATATGAGTGGCACTCACACATCTTCTGTGATGCATGCAACATTGGAGATTGGTGATCCTCATATGGATGCAGGCAGAATGGGAATAGAATTTCACACTGGCCAGAACCAGACAAAGTGAATAATTATAGACATGACATAACATTTTGGTTATGATAAAGAATACTGATCAAATTATTATAATTATTATGGACATAATATCCATCTAAATACAATAACATCAGCTCAGCTGAGCAGTGACCACACTGCTGTTATTCATTGCTAATGCTGTGGATGAAGAACATGCAGCCTGCCAGATATAGTTACATTACCGCTCACTACTTTGCATTATCTTTTACTATTATCTATACTGTACTGAGTAAGGCTAGCTAGATTTGCCCTCCAACATTATGCAGGACTTTGGATCTTAAGTTCTTGCAACTTGGATGTACTCTGACCTAACATGGGTCAAACAATGTGGATTATATAAAGGGTTCCACCATCACTTCTGTTTTTGTTTTTTAAGAGAGAAAAACAATAAATACAAGGACAAAAAGAAAAGGGGAAACTGTTGCAGAGTTTTATGTTTTGGCTAAGCTCCTCTGCCTGTGCAGATACGCAGGGACTTACAGAGCAGAACTAGCTTCAAGTGTCTCCAGAGTAGCCCACCCCTTATTGTTTCATCAGCTGGCGCTTATATTCTCAATAACTCACTCTGAGACATAGTAAGAGAAATAATAAACAGTTCCCTAAAAAGATCAAAGTAGGATACTGTACAAAAATGGCTGCTTACAGAAGTAGATCCTGACAGCGTCACAGCTTGCTTCCAGCAGACTCTTGGTTGACATTCACATAACTGCAAACTACTGTAACTGCATAACTGCCAGCAGATAGAGGCATTCTCAATAACACATTCTGAGACATAGTAAGAGAAATAATAAACAGTTCCCTAAAAAGATCAAAGTAGGATACTGTACAAAAATGGCTGCTTACAGAAGTAGATCCTGACAGCGTCACAGCTTGCTTCCAGCAGACTCTTGGTTGACATTCACATAACTGCAAACTACTGTAACTGCATAACTGCCAGCAGATAGAGGCAGCATGTGAGGTTGAAATAACTCCAACAAAAACATGAGACAACATGTGAGAAAAGGCGCTTGTGGAGCTCATATTGGAGATTGGGTTTAGTGGCGGGTCCTGAAGCTGAAAAGAGGAGAGAAGCCATTCTCAACATATTTTTGGCCATGACCATAAACACAGTATGAAAGATATATAGGCTGAACCAGGATTGTAAAAGTCGCATAATGAACCTTATCAGGTGGTGTGTGAAGAACTGTTTCAAGTCAGTAGCCCCCTTCAAATGTGCCAAGGCTCCCCAGGGGGCCATACGGCCCCCATTGAGAATGGATGCTCTAGGGCAGTGGTTTCCAATCCTTGATCCTCAGATGTTCTTGGACTGCAACTCCTAGAAATCCTGGCCATCACAGCTAGTGGGGGGAGTTTTAGACCAAGGACACCTGGGGACCCATGGTTAGGAACCACTGCTCCAGGGCTATAATGGATTTAAACTGTTGCAGTCACCATTTGCATCGCTTGATGGCTTCATTTATGTTGCTGTTGTTTAGCCGTTAAATCATGTCCGACTCTTCGTGTCCCCATGGACCAGAGCACGCCAGGACCTCCTGTCTTCCACTGCCTCCCGGAGTTTGGTCAAATTCATGTTGGTTGCTTCAATGACACTGTCCAACCATCTCATCCTCTGTCGTCCCCTTCTCCTCTTGCCTTCACACTTTCCTAACATCAGGGTATTTTCCAGGGAGTTTTCTCTTCTCATGAGAAGGCCAAAGTACTGGAGCCTCCGCTTCAGGATCTGTTCTTCCAGTGAGAATTCAGGGTTGATTTCCTTCGGAACGGATAGATTTGTTTTCCTTGCAGTGAAGGGGACTCTCAAGCGTCTCCTCCAGCACCACAATTCAAAAGCATCAATTCTTTGGAGGTCAGCGTTCTTTATGGTCCAGCTCTCACTTCCATACATCGCTACTGGAAAAACCATAGCTTTGACTATGTGGACCTTTGTTGGCAAGGTGATGTCTTTGCTTTTTAAGATGCTGTCTAGGTTTATCATTGCTTTCCTTCCAGAAAGCAGGCGTCTTTTAATTTTGTGGCTGCTGTCACCATCTGCAGTGATTATGGAGCCCAAGAAAGTAAACTCTGT